AACGGATTAGAAAAAACTATAGCAGAAGGCATGGTACCAGGAAGGAGGGGCAGGGGCCGACCGACACAAAGATGGGCACAGGATATAAGTGACTCCTTGAGTGTGAAAGTTCATGAGGCAGGAGAACTGGCGAGAGACCGAGTTTCTTTCAGGCAGACTGTGATGAAAGCGACGTTCTGCAAAGGACCTGCTTCATGATGACTTGTCATTTGACTGAGCGTTGCCGAAGCCTGATGGATATCTACTTATGTAGTGAGTCCGTGTTTGAGTCCTAACACGGCATACCTGTGGGAGAAAGCAGACTAATGTCTGAGTTATGGTGGTACCAGACACATTCCTAGGTAGCCAGGAAATTAAACTAAAATGGCTCTTGTAGATATCAAAATGACGTTAGTGAGAGAATATCAAGATATACTGTTTACCTCTCAGACTTACTTCTGTCTTGGTGTTAAAATATGAATGCCCTATCAAGTGATTTATAACTGAGTGAGTGGAAGTAAACAAGTATGAATAAAAGAGACTTACAACTAAGGATACAATTTATCCAGCTAAGATGTGATTGAATCAGTCCAGTGAACGAAAAACATGACATTTTTTGATTTTACAAGAACATGGCTTATTGGTTGTCATGAGTTAATTCAGGGATTTACTTGTGCAGATGAGAGTAGAGTGATGGTGGTATTGCACTGAAAATAATGCTTATCATTTAGAATAGTAGATAACTTCGTGAATAAAGGAAATCTGCAGACAGGCCTCAGTTTGAGACTGCCTATCTTTTCCCAGCCTGCCAATCGCTACCTCTAGTAGCTGCATGTTATTCAGACCGTCTGCATAGAATGATGCTGATTGGTCCTTGCCCAGTGTTGGAACTGATTGGAACTTGCCCAGTGTTGGAACTGATTGGTCCTTGCCCAGTGTTGGAACTGATTGGTCCTTGCCCAGTGTTGGAACTGATTGGTCCTTGCCCAGTGTTGGAACTGACTGGTCTTTGCCCAGTGTTGGAACTGATTGGTCCTTGCCCAGTGTTGGAACTGATTGGTCCTTGCCCAGTGTTGGAACTGATTGGTCCTTGCCCAGTGTTGGAACTGACTGGTCCTTGCCCAGTGTTGGAACTGACTGGTCTTTGCCCAGTGTTGGAACTTGCCCAGTGTTGGAACTGATTGGTCCTTGCCCAGTGTTGGAACTTGCCCAGTGTTGGAACTGAATGATCTTTGCCCAGTGTTGGAACTGAATGGTCCTTGCCCAGTGTTGGAACTGAATGGTCCTTGCTCAGTGTTAGAACTGTGATAAAAAAAGAAACCAACATCTATGTGAAATAATTTATGGGTGCAGAACAACAACAACATATTTGGGGAGCAAATCAAATATCTGGGTTTTTACACTCTTTACATGGTCAGTCTCTTAAGCCTCCCGTGAATTAGAAACAACAATATTTTGTTTTATGCAGGATAGGCTATCAGAATAATTCAAATGCATTGCAGCCCACATAAATGAATTTTCAAAACAGTCTCCACGCTTGTGGTTTAATACAAGTTTGATTTATAATTAAATTTCAGTGTTAACATCAATTTTCAACTATAAAACTTTGGAAAACCTGTACACTGAAAACATACAATAAAACATCAATGAAGATGTATTGAAAGATTTCATGGCAGCCTACTGAAATTGAGAAATGTCCATTAAGAACTAAACTAAAGGAGTTAAGTGCACAGTTGAGCACAAGGACAGCGGAGACTCCTATGAGAAAATAATTCTACCTGACCTGGAGAAAGCAAAGCACTATGGCACAAAGTCATGTCTCATGGTTGAAGATTAAGCCCAACAGTAATGGCATACTGATGTGGCAGTGTGAATTTCCAAGCCTTACTGCCAAGTTTTGTTAACTCTACTTAGCACCTCCTCTCTTCCTTCCTAAACAGCTCTCATTCGCTGAATGTCAAAGCTCTACCCCTTGGGGTACATTGCATTCACAAAATGCCTATCAGCCATGATAAAAAATACTCAACACTTTGTAAGTCTGTGCTGAACACAGCCGGCGCCAGCTTAAAAGGTCTGACATGTCACCACGTGACCTTATAGCAAGAAGGCTGTCTTCATGTTTGACTGATGTGTAGCTATCTTTGGTTGATTCGTATGTTGTGGACACAGCCTTCTTTCAGTATATACAACTGTATTGTGATTAGAGTGTGATTATAAAATTGCCTAGGAAATGCTGTGTTCCTTTATGGATAGTGAATATACAAGATTTTATTTATATATAGTGAATTTCAAGATTTTTAAACTCTGCAGTATCAGATTACAGCAAATTTAAAAATGCACCAGACACAGTCGAGTTGTGTGTGTGTGTGTGTGTGTGTGTGTAGTCAGAATATTTTAATAAAATCTCCTGCAGGCTACAGATTTTAGATTTTAAGGGAATCTCTGTTGTTCGTCCATCACCAGTGATGAAGACCACTTTCATCTAAAGCAGTAGTGATCAATGATTATGAGTACAAAGGTGGCTGATTAGTCCAATGTAAGCCTGGAAAGTTCTTGAACATTGCGGACAACAGGTGGAAGCCACAGAAAAATTGGGATTAGCAGTACCATATTTTCTAGCCTGTCTCCGTTTCTCTGTTTGTGCAACCTCCGCTGCCTGGCAGGCCAATGCACCATGTCTGAGAGAGGTACACCATCCAGAACAGTCTTGTGCAGCAGCCTCCCACGTCGCTGTGTTCATGCCAAAAGAATTGAGGGCAGTCTTGAGAGTGTCCTTACGGCGCCTTTTCTGTTCTTCCTGGGCCTCTTACCTTGCTGCAGCTCGCCATAAAATACTCTCTTTAGGAGGCGATAGTCTGGCATGCAGGTTAGGTGACCAGCCCAACGCAGCTGATAATTCTTCAGTATCGTATGGATGAGCTGATAATTCTTCAGTATCGTATGGATGAGCTGATTATTCTTCAGTATCGTATGGATGAGCTGATAATTCTTTAGTATCGTATGGATGAGCTGATAATTCTTCAGTATCGTATGGATGAGCTGATAATTCTTCAGTATCGTATGGATGAGCTGATAATTCTTCAGTATCGTATGGATGAGCTGATAATTCTTCAGTATCGTATGGATGAGCTGATAATTCTTCAGTATCGTATGGATGAGCTGATAATTCTTCAGTATCGTATGGATGAGCTGATAATTCTTCAGTATCGTATGGATGAGCTGATAATTCTTCAGTATTGTATGGATGAGCTGATAATTCTTCAGTATTGTATGGATGAGCTGATAATTCTTCAGTATCATATGGATGAGCTGATAATTCTTCAGTATCAAATGGATGCTAGGCAGGTTTGCCCTATCAAGAACCACAATATTTGAGATCTTATCTTGCCATTTGATTTTGAGCAGCTTTCTGAGACAGGTTATATGAAACTGATTCAACAATATAGCATGGCGCTGATACACAGTCCACATTTCACAAACGTAGTGCAGTACTGGCAGAATTACAGCTTTGTAGACCTTTAGCTTGGTCAGCAGGGAGATACCACTTCTGTTACAGACAATGGTATAAAGGCTGCCGAAACTGCTGCTGACCTTTGAGATTCTAACATTGATCTCATCGTCGATGTTGACTCATGAGATAGGGTACTGCCAAGATAAGTGAATCTGTCGACTTCATTTAGCTTTTGATCATTTACGGTGATAGTGGGATCACAGTAATTGTTTTTGGGAGCCGGTTGATAGATAACAACAGTTTTATCAGTGTTTATAGTTAGCCTGAAGATGGCCCAGGCTTCAGAAAATCTATTGATGATGTGCTGCATACTGGCCTCAGAAGTGGAGTTTAGAGCCCAGTAGTCAGCAAATAAAAGGTCTCTGATTGTAGTCGTTTTAGTTTTTTGTTTTAGCTCGAAGTCTCCTTGAATTAAATAAGCTGTATACTTGTAAGGTCAGCTCTGTGGCTAAGTCGATGCAAACGCTTCGTAATGCCGGAATGTCGGGTTTGATCCCAGCTGCGGGCCATGCGCCTTGCGTTGGTTTCAACAGCGGTATCCAGAAAGCCAACCGTCCAGAAAGCAATGTCAAACTACTGGATGTAAATTTGCTTCGAAAAACAACACAACAGCCAGGGGCTGTTGGGGTTGGTTCTGTACCGTCCTGTAAAGGATACGCAACTAACCTTATACTTGTAAGTGATGTGTCTTCACAATCCACTAACTTGCAATAATATTGATTGTGTATTCTTGGTGTGTCTTCATAATCCACTCACTTTGATTGTGTATACTTGTAAGTGGTGTGTTTTCATGTTTGGTTCATTTTTTTTTTTATATACTATATCAAGACGTTTTGGAGCAACATTTGGTTAAATGCAAAACATTTTCATAATACCCCAGCAAGTTACTTGTCTGTTTACTGATTATTAAATAACAGTTTAAATAATTATACATTGTAGCAGTACACTAATATTAATACTCAACTATTTGCGTTCATTTTTGTTCATCTTCTTCTTTGCATTCACTGGCTGCAAACTCAGGAGTTTAGTCTTGTTCCAGACATTGCGTGCACATACATATTTGATCTATTTGTATGCAGACTGCTGATTCTTGCCTCTCAGGTAAACACATTGCAACTTTAAAAGAAGCCACAATAAGTCGTCTCTTACTACATGCTCTTGGGCAGGTGGAGAGTCTATTGTTTTTCCAACACTTGGACCCCGGTATCCCCATGGGGACACTTTTGTGTATGTTGCACAGCATTTGCTGTTGTATGGTTTGTTTTAATGCGCTTCACTTACCTTCAAAATAATATGTCATTCATGATATTGTGTTGCAAAGTATTTAAACTGTCTTGACATAAATATAGGTATATAGATATATAATCTACTGCCTACTTGTCATTTGACCGAGACTATATGATAATCTACTGCCTACTTGTCATTTGACTGAGACTAGATGATAATCTACTGCCTACTTGTCATTTGACCGAGACTAGATGATAATCTGCTGCCTCCTTGTCTGTTGCAGACAATAAGATGAGACGCAGGAGTCAGATGATCATGACAAGTTCTGGCCACAAACACCATGTAAGTACTAGCAGATCTGCTTGTTGACTGACTATATTTGGTTTAATAAGTCAGTCAGTCAGTGGTATATAGTTCTAGTGGTACATAGTTCTAGTGGTAAATAGTTCTAGTGGTACATAGTTCTAGTGGTACATAGTTCTAGTGGTACATAGTTCTAGTGGTACATAGTTCTAGTGGTACATAGTTCTAGTGGTAAATAGTTCTAGTGGTACATAGTTCTAGTGGTACATAGTTCTAGTGGTACATAGTTCTAGTGGTACATAGTTCTAGTGGTACATAGTTCTAGTGGTACATAGTTCAAGTGGTACATAGTTCAAGTGGTACATAGTTTTAGTGGTACATAGTTTTAGTGGTAGATGGTTCTATGGGTACATAGTTCAAGTTGTACAGGCTTCTGGTGATTCATGGTTCTGTGGGTACATGGTTCTATAGGTACAAGTTCTAGTGGTACATGGTTCTGTGGGTACATGGTTCTGTGGGTACATGGTTCTGTGGGTACATGGTTCTGTGGGTACATGGTTCTGTGGGCATATGATTCTAGTGGTACATGGTTCTGTGGGTACATGGTTCTAGTGGTACATGGTTCTGTGGGTACATGATTCATGGTTCTGTGGGTACATGGCTCTGTGGGTACATGGTTCTATAGGTACAAGTTCTAGTGGTACATGGTTCTGTGGGTACATGATTCTAGTGGTACATGGTTCTGTGGGTACATGGTTCTAGTGGTACATGGTTCTGTGGGTACATGATTCATGGTTCTGTGGGTACATGGTTCTGTGGGTACATGATTCATGGTTCTGTGGGTACATGGTTCTGTGGGTACATGGTTCTGTGGGTACATGATTCATGGTTCTGTGGGTACATGATTCATGGTTCTGTGGGTACATGGTTCTGTGGGTACATGATTCATGGTTCTGTGGGTACATGGTTCTGTGGGTACATGGTTCTGTGGGTACATGATTCATGGTTCTGTGGGTACATGGTTCTGTGGGTACATGGTTCTAGTGATATATGGTTCTGTGGGTACATGATTCATGGTTCTGTGGGTACATAATTCTAGTGATATATGGTTCTGTGGGTACATGATTCTAGTGGTACATGGTTCTGTGGGTACATGGTTCTGTGGGTACATGGTTCTGTGGGTACATGGTTCTGTGGGTACATGGTTCTAGTGATATATGGTTCTGTGGGTACATGATTCATGGTTCTGTGGGTACATGGTTCTGTGGGTACATGGTTGTAGTGATATATGGTTCTGTGGGTACATGATTCATGGTTCTGTGGGTACATGATTCATGGTTCTGTGGGTACATGGTTCTAGTGATATATGGTTCTGTGGGTACATGATTCATGGTTCTGTGAGTACATGGTTCTAGTGATATATGGTTCTGTGGGTACATGATTCATGGTTCTGTGGGTACATGGTTCTGTGGGTACATGGTTCTGTGGGTACATGGTTCTGTGGGTACATGGTTCTGTTTGTACATGGTTCTGTGGGTACATGGTTCTGTGGATACATGATTCTGTGGGTACATGGTTCTGTGGGTACATGGTTCTGTGGGTACATGATTCTAGTGATATATGGTTTTGTGGGTACATGATTCTAGTGGTACATGGTTCTGTGGGTACATGGTTCTGTGGGTACATGATTCTAGTGGTACATGGTTCTGTGGGTACATGGTTCTGTGGGTACATGGTTACATGGTTCTGAACAACAGAGAACAGACAGTTGGTACTGAGTACAGTAGATACAACATGTGTTTCCAACACAGAGAACAGACAGTTGGTACTGAGTACAGTAGATACAACATGTGTTTCCAACACAGAGAACAGACAGTTGGTACTGAGTACAGTACATTAGTGTTTCCAACACAGAGAACAGACAGTTGGTACTGAGTACATTAGATACAACATGTGTTTCCAACACAGAGAACAGACAGTTGGTACTGAGTACAGTAGATACAACATGTGTTTTCCAACACAGAGAACAGGCAGTTGGTACTGAGTACATTAGATACAACATGTGTTTCCAACACAGAGAACAGACAGTTGGTACTGAGTACATTAAATACAGCAAGTGTTTCCACCACAGAAAACAGACAGTTGGTACTGAGTACAGTAGATACAACATGTGTTTCCAACACAGAGAACAGACAGTTGGTACTGAGTACATTAGATACAACATGTATTTCCAACACAGAGAACAGACAGTTGGTACAGAGTACATTAGATACAACATGTGTTTCTAACACAGAGAACAGACAGTTGGTACTGAGTACATTAGATACAACATGTGTTTCCAACACAGAGAACAGACAGTTGTTACTGAGAACATAAGATACAGCAAGTGTTTCCAACACAGAGAACAGACAGTTGGTACTGAGTACATTAGATACAGCAAGTGTTTCCAACACAGAGAACAGACAGTTGGTACTGAGTACAGTAGATACAACATGTGTTTCCAACACAGAGAACAGAAAGTTGTTACTGAGTACATAAGATACAGCAAGTGTTTCCAACACAGAGAACAGACAGTTGGTACTGAGTACATTAAATACAGCAATTGTTTCCACCACAGAAAACAGACAGTTGGTACTGAGTACAGTAGATACAACATGTGTTTCTAACACAGAGAACAGATAGTTTGTACTGAGTACACTAGATACAACATTTGTTTCCATCACAGAGAACAGACAGTTGATACTGAGTACAGTAAATACAACATGTATTTCCAACACAGAGAACAGACAGTTGGTACTGAGTACAGTAGATACAACATGTGTTTTCACCACAGAGAACAGGCAGTTGGTACTGAGTACATTAGATACAACATGTGTTTCCAACACAGAGAACAGACAGTTGGTACTGAGTACATTAGATACAGCAAGTGTTTCCAACACAGAGAACAGACAGTTGGTACTGAGTACAGTAGATACAACATGTGTTTCCAACACAGAGAACAGAAAGTTGTTACTGAGTACATAAGATACAGCAAGTGTTTCCAACACAGAGAACAGACAGTTGGTACTGAGTACATTAAATACAGCAAGTGTTTCCACCACAGAAAACAGACAGTTGGTACTGAGTACAGTAGATACAACATGTGTTTCTAACACAGAGAACAGATAGTTTGTACTGAGTACACTAGATACAACATTTGTTTCCATCACAGAGAACAGACAGTTGATACTGAGTACAGTAGATACAACATGTGTTTCTAACACAGAGAACAGTCAGTTGGTACACAACAGATGCCACGAACACAGATGATGTGTCTAATATTGTGTGGTTGAAATCCTACAGATAGATGAGTTTGGCCAACTGCGCAAGTTTAGTTCATGCTCCACGATCTACATGGATGACTCCACTGTGTCACAGCCAAACCTCAAGACCACAATCAAAGCAGTTGCACTAGCAATTTTTTTTCACATTAGAAACCGAGTGCCTCCGGATGAGGAGAAGGAGAGGAGTCTGGCAGCTCTGGAGCCAAACATTCTACAAATCTTTGATGAGAAGGCCCACCCTCTCTCGGTACATTGTTACAGTTCTTGTAGCCACTGTCTCATAGTGTGTTGTTACAGTACTTGTACCCACCATCTCATAGTGTGTTGTTACAGTTCTTGTAGCCACTGTCTCATAGTGTGTTGTTACAGTTATTGTAGCCACTGTCTCATAGTGTGTTGTTACAGTTCTTGTAGCCACTGTCTCATAGTGTGTTGTTATAGTTCTTGTAGCCACTGTCTCATAGTGTGTTGTTACAGTTCTTGTAGCCACTGTCTCATAGTGAGTTGTTATAGTTCTTGTAGCCACTGTCTCATAGTGTGTTGTTACAGTTCTTTTAGCCACTGTCTCATAGTGTGCTTTTACAGTTCTTGTAGCCACTGTCTTATAGTGTGTTGTTACAGTTCTTGTACCCACCATCTCATAGTGTGTTACAGTTCTTGTAGCCACTGTCTCATAGTGTGTTTTTACAGTTCTTGTACCCACCATCTCATAGAGTGTTGTTACAGTTCTTGTAGCCACTGTCTCATAGTGTATTCTTACAGTTCTTGTACCCACTGTCTCAAAGTGTGTTGTTACAGTTCTTGTACCCACTGTCTCATATTGTGTTGTTACAGTTCTTGTACCCACTGTCTCATAGTGCATTGTTACAGTTTTTGTAGCCACAGTCTCATAGTGTGTTGTTACAGTTTTTGTACCCACTGTATCATAGTGTTTTGTTACAGTTTTTGTACCCACTGTCTCATAGTGTGTTGTTACAGTTCTTGTACCCACTGTCTCATAGTGTGTTGTTACAGTTCTTGTAGCCACTGTCTCATAGTGTGTTGTTACAGATATTGTAGCCACTGTCTTATAGTGTGTTGTTACAGTTCTTGTAGTCACTGTCTCATAGTGTGTTGTTACAGTTCTTGTAGCCACTGTCTCATAGTGTGTTGTTACAGTTCTTGTAGCCACTGTCTCATAGTGTGTTGTTATAGTTCTTGTAGCCACTGTCTCATAGTGTGTTGTTATAGTTCTTGTAGCCACTGTCTCATAGTGTGTTGTTACAGTTCTTGTAGCCACTGTCTCATAGTGTGTTGTTACAGTTCTTGTAGCCACTGTCTCATAGTGTGTTGTTACAGTTCTTGTACCCACTGTCTCATAGTGTGTTGTTACAGTTCTTGTAGCCACTGTCTCATAGTGTGTTGTTACAGTTCTTATAGCCACTGTCTCATAGTGTGTTGTTACAGTTCTTGTAGCCACTGTCTCATAGTGTGTTGTTACAGTTCTTGTAGCCACTGTCTCATAGTGTGTTGTTAAAGTTCTTGTAGCCACTGTCTCATAGTGTGTTGTTTCAGTTCTTGTAGCCACTGTCTCATAGCGTGTTGTTAAAGTTCTTGTAGCCACTGTCTCATAGCGTGTTGTTACAGTTCTTGTAGCCACTGTCTCTTAGTGTGTTGTTACAGTTCTTGTAGCCACTGTCTCATAGTGTGTTGTTACAGTTCTTGTAGCCACTGTCTCATAGTGTGTTGTTACAGTTCTTGTAGCCACTGTCTCATGGTGTGTTGTTAAAGTTCTTGTAGCCACTGTCTCATAGTGTGTTGTTACAGTTCTTATAGCCACTGTCTCATAGTGTGTTGTTACAGTTCTTGTAGCCACTGTCTCATAGTGTGTTGTTACAGTTCTTGTAGTCACTGTCTGATATTGTGTTGTTACAGTTTTTGTACCCACTGTCTCATAGTGTGTTGTTACAGTTCTTGTAGCCACTGTCTCATAGTGTGTTGTTACAGTTCTTGTAGCCACTGTCTCATAGTGTGTTGTTACAGTTCTTGTACCCACTGTCTCATAGTGTGTTGTTACAGTTCTTGTACCCACTGTCTCATAGTGTGTTGTTACAGTTCTTGTACCCACTGTCTCATAGTGTGTTGTTACAGTTCTTGTAGCCACTGTCTCATAGTGTGTTGTTACAGTTCTTGTAGCCACTGTCTCATAGTGTGTTGTTACAGTTCTTGTAGCCACTGTCTCATAGTGTGTTGTTAAAGTTCTTGTAGCCACTGTCTCATAGTGTGTTGTTACAGTTCTTATAGCCACTGTCTCATAGTGTGTTGTTACAGTTCTTGTAGTCACTGTCTCATAGTGTGTTGTTACAGTTCTTGTAGTCACTGTCTGATATTGTGTTGTTACAGTTTTTGTACCCACTGTCTCATAGTGTGTTGTTACAGTTCTTGTACCCACTGTCTCATAGTGTGTTGTTACAGTTCTTGTAGCCACTGTCTCATAGTGTGTTGTTACAGTTCTTGTAGCCACTGTCTCATAGTGTGTTGTTAAAGTTCTTGTAGCCACTGTCTCATAGTGTGTTGTTACAGTTCTTGTAGCCACTGTCTCATAGCGTGTTGTTAAAGTTCTAGTAGCCACTGTCTCATAGTGTGTTGTTACAGTTCTTGTAGCCACTGTCTCTTAGTGTGTTGTTACAGTTCTTGTAGCCACTGTCTCATAGTGTGTTGTTACAGTTCTTGTAGCCACTGTCTCATAGTGTGTTGTTACAGTTCTTGTAGCCACTGTCTCATAGTGTGTTGTTAAAGTTCTTGTAGCCACTGTCTGATAGTGTGTTGTTACAGTTCTTATAGCCACTGTCTCATAGTGTGTTGTTACAGTTCTTGTAGTCACTGTCTCATAGTGTGTTGTTACAGTTCTTGTAGCCACTGTCTCATAGTGTGTTGTTACAGTTCTTGTAGCCACTGTCTCATAGTGTGTTGTTACAGTTCTTGTAGCCACTGTCTCATAGTGTGTTGTTAAAGTCCTTGTAGCCACTGTCTCATAGTGTGTTGTTACAGTTCTTATAGCCACTGTCTCATAGTGTGTTGTTACAGTTCTTGTAGTCACTGTCTCATAGTGTGTTGTTACAGTTCTTGTAGTCACTGTCTGATATTGTGTTGTTACAGTTTTTGTACCCACTGTCTC